TCGATCACGAGGTGGGCATCAACTCACCGTCTGGCTCTCCTACTCCGCCATCTACCCCTTGAAGTACGATAAGAGCAGCCCAGGTGATCATAACGAGATCCCAGTTCGACCATATCGAGGCATCTAGAATTTGGAGCTTCACTGCCGCTCTTGCCGACACAAGCAGCTCATGCTGCTCTTTCGGCGTCGTGTTCGAAAACAGGTTGCAGCCTCGAGCAGGGTGGTAGATGGACAAAACGAGCAGCCTGTGCAGGATATACTGCCTGAATACAAGCTTCTTCTCGTGCTCCGACTCAAAGTCCTTGTCACTGAACTCGACGAGCCAGTCATCCAGCTGCCTTGCCCAGTCGCGGATGACGGCGCCGTCGACACCGCTGAACTGAACGGAAGATATTTGTGACACGTTGGGCTCGCTCTCGAAACAGGACCATATTGTTGGCAGACCTCTGCCTGTGAAGTGAGTCAGGCCGGTGTGCATCATTCTCGAGAGCCGATAGAGTTGGTCCTGTATTGGGATCTTGAGTCGTGGGAGGGGCGCCTCGATTGGTATAACTGGACAGGAGAGGTGTATTGAAGCGTGCTCGAGGTCGACGATCTACTCGATGTTAGAAAGATGCAGAGTACCGCTGGAAAAAGTTGCCCATTTTACCTGAAGGCCAGAGAACAGGCGTTGCCACTCGCGGGATCGCTCATCGGTGTTGGAGGGGCAATGCTCGAGGATGAGGCGGTAAGCGAGAGAAATCCAGACCCCCGTCTCTTTAACGACGGCTTCTCGTAGCAGTCCGGCGAGTATGATGCCCAGAACCGTTTGAAAGGCCCATTCTTCAGCTGAAGCTGGGTCATCCGGGGCTTGGCCGACTTCGCTCTGTGGTATGCACAGCTGCGAGATGGCACTGCACAAGACATTGAAGTAGTCTGGAGCCAGGACTGCGACTTCTGGCAAGCCCCGTATACTTGAGCAGTACAACATTGAAGCTAGCATGAGTGGCCTCGGCGATGAGAAGGTCTGTTTGGTTGGGAGAAAGTGAAGACCTGGCATGGTCTCGTGGAAGCTGAAAGGGTGTCAGATGTGTTGGAGAGCAGCTACGAGGTGTGGTGTCAAGAATTCGAAGCAAACGTACGATAACCATAGTCTTTTGATGAGGGACTTGTCCCAAATATTTGAGCCTGCGTTCGATGAACATGTTCTTCGTAATACAGATACAGCGCTCCAGAGGGCACCAAGCGATGTTTCCCCGGGAGTGTCGGGTTCGAATGTTGGCACATCCGGGGACGCGGGTGAGTCTGCTTCTTCCAAGTTGGCAAGGAGCGGCAGACCCAAGTGGTCTTCGAGCCGCTTCAATCGAAGAAACACGGATTTGTTTAGTGCTGGAGCATGCTCATTTGCCTGGATCAATGAAGCCAGCGAGAGACTTTCACGATGAGACGCGGACTAGGCAAACGATTCGTCAGACACGTCTTGGGAGGTTTGCAAACACAAATGAGACGATGGGATGATTGCCTACGTTGGCTCTGGGCACGAACACGCACGGCACTCCCGCGCGGAGGCATCTTCGACATGTGGCCCCGTTCTCAATTCTACATTTCATCTGTCGTCACAAAAAGGCGGGTTAGACTATTCGTCTTCACCAGAGAGCCAGCTCAAGGCCGACATACCTTTTGCCTTCTACAATTGACTTGAAGTGAGCACATCCGTCAGCTTCTACAGTCGCATGCAATGAGACGGAGTCCACCATGTGCTTACCGCATGCCTTCCGGGCCTTGCTCGGGCCCGACTCATCCGGCCCATCGGCCGACGCTTTGTCCCTCACCTGGTGAGCAGACATTATGAAAGCGTTCTGTTTGTGCACCGATACTTCGAGTGCGTTGTTCGAGTCCCACTCTATCAGTTGCGACAATTGCGACAAACACCGGTGTCCAACGGCCTTGTGTTCGGCCAGGTTCGATTCACTGTTGCTTTCTTCGGCGGGTACCCGGTGAAACAGGTGGGATCGGGGCAGAGTTAAGATTCACCGGTCGCACCGGGGAACCGGTCTTTTTGAAGATTTGGGTGACGAGTGCTAACGCGGGGGGTCCTAGACCCGGTCCTTGATAGGCCGGGGGTTTGTTATTGGAGGGATTTCTGGCTAATTTCAAGCGGTCCACTGAGCCGACCCGGTCCGGGTTCACCGGGGCTGCGATGGTTGTTGTAGACTGCGCCAGCTGTGAGGGTTCTTAGTTCTGACAGTACACTCCGAAGAGATGACCTTCCTTTTCTTTCCGAACGGATGTATCCTAGCTGCAGGAGGTGGTTCGCGTTCCGGTGTCAAAGTCGTGGTTTTTGCCGCGGGGGTTTGAATACTTGATCGGTTGCCAACCTACTGAGTGCTACTGATAGGCGCTGGCACCCATGAACCTAGCCTTTCCCACCAACACTGCCTACGACTAACACTGTCTGCCGGCAGCGTGGTGAGTCTCAATGTCTTCGATTGATCCTGAGCATTGCAGGGCGTCTGAGTTGATAGCTCAGGCCCGGAAAATCGCACATGACTTCGATTTCCCAGCGGCGGATGTTCGTCGCGCCACAACTCATTTCTTGAAGCAGCTCAGTAAGTTCAGTCAACTCTGGGTTACCGCACAACATACTGATATCGCAAACAGATGAGGGCCTTGGAGAAGATGGTACTTCAATGTGCCAGATTCCTTCCTTTGTAACCAAACTTCCCAATGGCTCCGAAAAGGGTGTCTGCTTGGCTATCGATCTTGGCGGCACCAACTTGAGGGTATGCTCTGTTGAATTACACGGAGACTCCACCTACTCCTTGACTCAATCCAAAGCCGTCATCCCCAGACAGCTGATGGCTGCACCAACATACAAGGATCTCTTCAGGTTTATCGCACTGCAGATGAAGGAGTTTTTGGAGAAGCATCACCCAGAAGACCTCACAACATGGTCTCAACTCCTGAAAGAGGGAGATGCAATCACTGAAGAAATAAGACAGAAGCACTGCAAGAGCCTTGGCTTTACTTTCAGTTTCACTTTCGATCAACATGCCATTAATAAGGGAACACTACTGTATTGGACAAAGTCATTCGGCATCGCTGATGCAGTCGGCCGCGACCCATGTGCCATGCTGCAGGAGGCTCTCGATGAGCAACGCTTGCCTCTCCTGGTCACAGCACTGGCGAATGATACCGTTGGCACTTTGGCTGCGCGAGCATACACATCTCCGGGACGTTCCAGTAATGTGATAGGTGCCATCTTCGGAACCGGCACCAACGGAGCCTACATGGAGCGCATTTCTCGCATCACCAAGCTGCACTCACGTACAGAGTTCTCAGATTCGGACTCGGATGCTATGATGGCGCTCAATACAGAGTGGGGAGGATTCGACAATAAGCTAGAAGTGCTGCCTTCAACAAGATTCGACCGAGACTTGGACAGGGACTCTGTCAACCCGGACGATCAGCATTTTGAGAAGCGCATATCCGGCATGTATCTTGGTGAATTACTGCGGCGCATACTCATCAACCTGTCACAGCCCGGACACAGCCTCTTTGACTTTGAAGTCTTGGGAGACTCCCCGCTTTACACGCCAGACAGTATTGACAGCTCACTGCTTTCAGCAGTTGTCAAGGACTCAACTCCAGCACTTGATAGCGCGCGGAAAGAGATTTCAAGGGTGCTTGGCGCTACAGACGTATCAGCGGATGATGCAAAGGCAATGCAGATTCTTTCCGCGGCTATTGGACGTAGATCAGCCAGGCTATCTTCCGTCGCGATTGCTGGTATTGCTCTCCAGTCCGGACTGTTTACACCCAAAAGCACTACCAAGCCAGTAGCGACGACATCACGAGGCCTGGGGATCAACCTTCTCAAACCTTTCCTCTATGGGGCACGAAGTCTGTGGAACCTGCTTACGAATTGGCTTCACGTCAGAGTTCGTTTCACGATTCCATCAAAGGGCACATCGCGCATGGTACCGGGATTAGGGGACGGGGGCAATTATCAGGCGGAAACTGATGGCGAAGACTCGAATGAAATCATTGATGTGGGCGTCGATGGTTCTTTGATAGAGCACTTTCCCAACTTTGAAGAGCACCTGCGGGAAGCTCTGAGAGAAATTCCGGAGATTGGTGTTGTGGGCGACAAGAGAATCAGGATCGGCATGGCAAGAGACGGTAGCGGTGTTGGGGCTGCTTTGATTGCATGGGCGGCGAGAGCATAATACCTAGAGTCACATCAATCAATGAGCATTGGAGTCTTGAAACATATGGAAGCGATGTTGATGTACCATCATGGCTAATAACATCATGCGGATACGATGCGACCCGATTCCAAGGCAGAGAGGAAGGGTCTACGGCCTTAGCTTTGCGGCAAGTAGTGATGCAGACCTCGCAAGGCAACTGAAATCTGTATTCACCGTAAGCCGTAAGAATCCTGTGCTTTGAGATGAATCAAGACAGACTTTCGAATCCAGCCTAATTCACTGGCTAGGATTCTCTAATTAACCTCTCGTATATAGATTCTTTACTCCCAGTCACAGAAAGCAATAACACCTACGACGGAATATTTGAAACCTTCAAAATAAAGGCCATTCAAGTAGAAGTTGCTGGGACTGCTTCTCAAGAATAAATTCACTTACTTCCTCTTCGCAACCAAAGACTTCGCGCTATGCATATAAGATGTTGTTTCGGCCTCATGTTCATGGCCAGCAGAGGCTATGCACATATGGCCATGACTGACCCGCCCCCAATCAAAGCCAAAGGAAACCCAAACACCTCACCTGAGAAGGCCGACTACAGCTACACAACCCCATTATCCCCAAGCGGCTCTGACTTTCCTTGCAAGGGCTATTTGAGCCTCGTAGGCACCCCAGAGGCGACGCCCGTCGACACATGGACTGCCGGCGATAGCTACTCTGCTACGATCTCTGGCCACGCTGTGCACTCAGGAGGATCATGCCAAATCAGCCCCTCGGTAGACGGTGGCAGTTCTTTTAAGGTTCTCCGCAGCTTCATCGGCAGCTGCCCGAGTGGCGATGCTACTCAACTCAATTTCAGACTGCCTGGCGACACGCCGTCTTCTGAACATGCGATTCTCGCCTGGACGTGGTTCAATAATCTTGGCAATCGGGAGATGTACATGAATTGCGCCGTTATCAGCAGTGCAGGCGGGGTTGGAGGAGCCTATGGCGAGAGTTTTAACAAGAGACCGGAAATATTCAAGGCGAACGTGGGCAATGGATGCAGGACGGCGGATTCGAGAGATGTCATGATTCCGAACCCGGGGCCGGATGTGGAAGTTAACAATTCCGATGCTGTACCGCCGATTGGTGAGTGCGAATCCGGGCCAGGAGCGACAGCGGGGTCGGATTCGGGGAACGGGGGCAATGGAGGCGGCGGTGGTAATGGCAGGGGAGGAATCTACAAGCCCGGCAATGACTGGCCTGCAAACTTCAACCCAAATTGCGGCAGAGCTGTGGCTGATGAACAGGTACCTGGTCTGATCTGCACTTGCTTCGTAGTCATTTGTATATGTCTATGTTTGGACTTTTGGACAATCGGCTTTCTTGAGGGCCTGGCTTTATTAAGACGTTGAGTCACCTACGCGTCAGCGTTGCTGCTAGTAAGTTGGGAAATCAAGAAAAAAAGGAGATTTTACAACCAAAAGATTGCGACTTGATCACTGACTAAGGTAGCCCAAATTATTAAGATGCATATATCTTATCACTATTGGGAACCAAAAAAGAAATTAGCAAAAGATTGAGGTCGTACCCGGGTTCGAACCGGGGTTGCCGGAAAGGTTCGATTTTGATGTTATCAAAATCCGGAGTGATAACCACTACACTATACAACCTTTGATGGAGAACCTGGGGACTTTGCGCGGCTTGAGTAGGACATCACAAACGCGGCTTTGCGGAGATAGGCCGCGCCAGAGGTGTGGTGGTTGTTGCGGGTGTGGGCGGGTCGCTTCCAGAGGCACCTGGCCAATGGCCGTTCGTATCTTGAGTCTGTGTGGCTCAGGAAGCCACCGCAGCTCGAATGATGACTCATCACAGCTCTCACATGCGCCACAAGCCAGCACCCTCAATGTTTCCCATCTCTCCTGACTAATGATCTGCTGGCTGTTGCATTCGCCCCATAGACGCAGTTGTCCATTGCGACGGCATGGAAAACTTGACCGACAGGTAATGTCAATGATGTGTTTCAGATGCCTGGCGACTCTCCATGCGAGAAATAACGATTTGCGAATGACGCCTTGAGCTTGACCGTATACGTGAGCAAATCCGACAAGGCAATTTCGGGGCGTTCAACACAAACTCCGGTAGATGCCCCGCCGCTGCCACTTTCTGTGGGGGAAATTCATAGCAATCTGACGGTATGCTCTTTCACAAGGCGTGTAATCGCGATGCGTGAAGGCGAAGACTCCAGGGACATCGAACCTCACGGACCACAAGATGTGTGCCGCCACGTTGGTTCCCCGCAAGATGCTTATGAATGCAACCCCCCGCATTTGCCCCAGGTGTTGCTGAACTTCTGGCGCGTAGTGACTTTCTGGGGATCTTCAAAGCCGTGAACTCTCGTCGTTGTACTCCCGGCCCGCAACCTCCCCCGGCGCCGAAGATGGTGGAGTAAAACTCGCGACCCGTGAACACTATGAAATATCCAATGTGATCTCTGCCAGATGTGTCATGACGGGACGGAGTTTCTAATTCCACGACTCAGCAACCATCTACCCCAAAGGACCGCTTACTGAAGCTGCGTCTCACCAGCTGCAACACAATGAAGGTAGGTCTCACTCAGCATCCGTGAAAATGGTAGTGTGCTCATGACTCTCAGGTCTTCTCATCATTGTCAGCTCTGCCATGGGTCACCATGTTTGCACAGCCATGCTTTGCTACGGTAGCTGACATTCCCGGCATCTTTGGCCCAGTACCAGTCATATCCCCGTCTCCCGTGGGTGATATCTCAAAGTACCTGAAGAGCCGACCAAGCGACTTCGTTCATCCCGGTATCTGGCACACGCATGAAGATCTAGAGCGCATCCGCAATGGGGTCCTCGAAGACAAAGACCCCTGGGCGTCAACTTTTGCCGTCTTCAGCAAGGATAGCTACAGCCTGTCAACTTATGAGATGAAGGGGCCGAAGCCAGTCATCTCACGCGGCAGTGTTAGCAACTACACGTCCTTCGCCTCCGACGCCCGCGCCGCATGGCAGAATGCTCTGATGTGGTACATCACCAAAGACGACGCGCATTGGAACCGCAGCACGACCATTTTGGATGGCTGGGGGTCTACGTTGGTCGACATCATCGGCACGGACCGGTCCCTACTCATTGGCTTGGATGGCGACCTCTTTGTTAATGCCGCTGAAATCATGCGCTGGGAGGGGAACTGGACCGAGTCCGGAGCACGCTGGCAAGGCGGGTCTGGCTTCAGCATCCAGCTCTACTGGTTGTTCTCACGACAGTCTATCCCGATTGGTCAGGCAAACTACGGAATGGCTAGTATCAAGGCCCTCTTGAGCTTTGCTGTCTATCTCGACGATGTTACCCTCTACAACTATGCCATCAATGAGTACTTGAACAACCCCTGTGCGGGGCTCTACTCCTTCTTCGAACCCGAGACGGGCCAAAGCTCGGAGTCCGGCCGTGATCAGAGTAAGTCGCCCTCCATCTTTCGACGACAAAACATGACTGATGATCGTCAAAGGCCATGCCATGTCCGGCTTGGGTTGGATCGCTCAGGCTGCGCGGGTAGCCCAGAGTCAAGGCTCTGACCTCTATAGTCAAGGCGACAACCTGCTTCTGAAAGGTGCAGAGTATACGGCCAAGTTCAACCTGAATGGGACCGTTCCGTATGATCCAAAGTGGTATCGATGCGAAGCAGTTCTTGTTAATGGCCCTTGGGCAACCATCTCCCAGGACAAGCGAGGTGTAACGGCCACAAACCCAATGTGGGATATTCTGTACTACCAGTATGTTGTCAAGAGACAGCTGCAAGCGACTTGGGTCACGAAAGCTAAGCAGGCTGTTGGAACCGAGGGCCGTTTGACGAGCAATGATCATCCTAGCTGGGGAGGGCTGATCTGGGCTTATTGAGCTATCGGCCATGTCGCATATTCGTACGTACATATGTAGCTATCGAAGCACTTGAGAAACAGCTTACTCCGCGATGATGGAATCCTCGCCTTGAGAAAGATGATTTCTGCGCTTGGAACATCAGGAGCATGAATCTTGACATGTTTGACGTTGGCCACGTACGTACAATCATCTTACTAGGGATGGAACTAAACATGGACAGTCATCTTTGGCAAAGTGTAGAAAGTGATTGGAAGAACACATGTTACGGTGTAGAAGAGAGTGATAATTTAATATAGACAAGAAGTATATGCTGTTTGGAGGACAGTATGAACAGTCAAAAAGATAATGAAATGGGAACTAATGAGGGTGGCCACCAAGCGGTGGAAAACGTCAGGAATGCAGATCAGTGCCATGCCGAAGCCATTGCGAACTTCCGAACAATAACCCAGAGGAAGAGCAACTGGTTCCAATCCTACTCCAATCTGTAAAGGAGAGTACCGAATCCTAGCTGGTCGTAACCGCCGCTAGTTGTGCCGTAATCGCCGCCACCTCCCTCGGCACCACCGGCTTCTTCAACCACGTGGTCGCGCATTTGTTCAGTCCAAGAAGCATTGAGCCCCTTGATGACGCCGTAGTGATTGTAGAGCAACTCCCAGATAGGTCGAAGTCCGCCACGTCCAGACTCGCTGATATTCACAGCTGTGCCGTGACTGTTGGTAAAGTTGGTAAAGGGGACATCAAATCCGAGATTGTACTTGGCGGCGTACTCCGACCTTGGTCTAGTGTTAGCAATAAACTCACGTTTTATGATAGACCTTACGTACCCTGCCAAAATTCTGTTGTCGAGGTACGAGAACAAGTCATCGCCCTGGTTGTAAGACTGTTGCGCAAAGACGCCCAAGAACGCAAAGTCCAGCAGAGCATGGCCTTGGTCACGGCCAGCCTCTTGGCCTTGACCAAGGATCTTGCCAGAGCCTTCCTCTTTGTGCAATTCCCAGATAGCGATCTTGATTGCGCCGTTGCCGGCACCGTTTTTGAAGTAGCCCACGGCCTCGTTGTACATGGTCTTATTGTCCGTCAAGATTCCAATAGCCTGCATGGTGCACAAATTGGCCAAGTCCCAGTTGGCCCAGTAATGGTCGATGGATGCGCCATTGTGGTTGACGAGAAAGTTGTGGTTCATAGGGTAGAAGACTCTCTGCAACATCTCGGTCATCGCGGATAAGCCGTCCCATCCATTCCACCCGCGCAGGATCTCGGCTGCGTTGGCGAGCTGGAAGCCGTAGATACCGGACGCGAGGAATTTGTCGGAAGAGCCGTTGATGTAGATGAGCGAGTCACTCCAGGCATCAAGAATGCGAGCCGACGCGTTGGCGTGGGCCTCATCGCCGGTAATCTTCCAGGCAATGGCGTTGGTGTAGGCCGCATGGGCATCGCGGTAAAGAGACGGGTAGTTTTCAGGGTTACATTCGCGACCTGCGCCGCCGCGGCACACTGTCTCCTTGGGATTAGGAGTGTAGGCCGTGTTTGCGCGTGTCTTGAGCTTGCTCCAGCCGGTCGTCCATGGCTCCTTCTGAGCGTTGACGAGGCCGGTGATGCGGTCGAAGTCTTTGGCAGTGTGAAGCAGGCCAGGATGTTTGAAGGTTGGCTGGGAAGAGTTGGAGCAGAGCGCGTCTGCCTCTGGGGCCCACAAAGAAGCCCCTAAAAGAATGACGAGGTTACTAGAAATGGAAGTGAACTTCATGTTGTCGATAATTGGGGCCTGAGACCAGCCCAAACTCTTTCGTGAACAAGAATCCAAAGAACTGAAGGTGCGATGGCTAAGATAGTTCTCGAAGCCCAAGTGATGGCTACGTAAACCGTTGGGATATATAACCTAGCTGCTCAATCACGAACCAGAGTGGACCCATTCTCGGGACTTGTTTCGATATCTGATATGAATTTACTGCCCATTTCTAGCGCCCGGGACTTACTCCGCTCATAATGGCAGTGGGTAGGCAAACGAGTTCGAATATGATAAAGAGCACATCAAGTTTTTGTCGGCCCCTGACCAGGCAGGCCACGACTTATCCTTGCGCCCCGAGAACGAGATTTAAGGGGTGTGTCAGCTGAGACCCAAGGTCTATTGTGTGGAGTTGTACAGAGTGCCGAGCAGCCTAGTTGCAGATCCATGTGGCTATCAACGCCATTGACGACCGGGGTTGCACGCCGGAAACTACCCCGGACAAAAATTCCGCCGCATAATTGACATCTAAAAGACAACTGCAACTGTCTGCATGAACATTCAATCGAGCAGATGTGTTTTGTTAGTTGACTCACTCCGTCCGCTAGAACTCTCAAGGATGTATGGAAATTTGACAATATCATGTGGCATTGCGAGTATAGATGGATGCTATGAACTGTAATTAATTACAGATATCTTGAATGGCTCAATCCACGGATAGCAAGTCCAAGAAGCTTGGAAGACGAATCACCTCGGACAACCAATTTTCACAGGTGATTTGAGAAAACGCGCGTGTTTAATTGAGTCTACCTGATAGCGGCATGATGAAACGAAGAGACAAAGGAAAGCATGGGGAAATATCTAGTACTGGTACAAGCCAGATCCAAGAAGAGCAGAAGGTGCCAGATGAGCAGCCGCCGAGTTCAAAGTTCCAAACTTTTCCAAGACTGCCGAAAGAGTGTTATGAGCCGGCTGGAGACCGCCGTCTACCCATCCACCAAGGAACGAGGTGCAATCGCTGTTGATCAGAACTCGCGAAGTCTGGGTCTGGTTGATTCTCTCCCAATCATAGAAGAGAGACTCAATGCTAACATCCTGACCCGGGAATCCCAGAGAGAAGGCACCGTACGAGTAACGGTCAAGAGGCCAGTGAATGAGGTAAATATCGTCGTCAGTGACGGGCTCAAGGAGGCTGGCATACTCAGGGAAGTCAGACTCTTGCATGATTCTGTCAATCTGGGTCTTGAGTTCCATAAGAAGCTCCTTGGGGTCCGAGATAGCCGTCATCTGCAGAGAAAGGTCCTCCCAGGCGTAGGTGACGAGGACCATGCCGTAGTCGGGGTGTCCATAGTCCAGAGTGTAGGTTTGCGGCAGGTTTGTGTCTGAAAGAATGACTCGAGGGAAACCAGCCCCCTGAGTTTCCCAGAACTTCTTGGTGCGGATGAAGAGCTTGGATGAGGCGGTCATGTGGAGATCATTGATGGCTCTCTGAACTTCCAAAGGCATGATGGGGTCCTCGGTGGTCTCCGAGACCGGGGTGAAGGCGTAGTTCATGGCGCGGTTGCTAGTTCCGACAACGACAAGGTCGTACTCGACATTGGTAGAGATGCCTCCAGAAGTCTCTCTCACACCAACCGCAAGGCCGCCGAGAGCATCGCCGCCGCCGCTAGTGACTTCAGCAACAGTCGAGAACTTGGTCTTGACACCGAGCTCAGTCGCCTTGTCCCAGATTGTCTGGGCAAGATCACGGATACCGGCAGGCTGCAGGCCTGAGTCGGTGACCTTGGCAAAGACAGCTTGGTCTGACTCGAGGCCGTTAACGACCAGGCGGAAGACAGAGTTAAATCCCGCAGAGTAGACAGCGCCAAAGCCGCCAGAGCCGATTCCAAGGGTGCCAAAGCGCTGGAAGTCATCCTCGGTCCAGACTTCACCGCCCGGAACGTCCCACTCGTGACCTTCGCCGAAAATGCGGCGAAGACCAGTGTAGAAGCTGTCGTCACCAAAGGTGTCCAAGTACTTTTGCCACTCAGGAACGGCAAGGTTACGAGTGGCAGTGTCGTTGGAGCTGAGCCAAGTGGTAATCTGGCTGCCAGCGGCCAAGGTGCTGCTGCCGCCGGTCAAGCCCTTGGAGATGAGCTGGATCCAGCCGTTGTTGACCTTCTCGAAGCCGGTGGGAGCAGTGTTGGAGTCGGTCCAAGAAGTAGCCTTCTCTTGGTAGTAGACAATGGTGGGAACCTTGCCGGGGTCGGGGAAGTTCTGAATGAAAGTGTAGTTGAACTCATTGGCGTAGTAGTAAAGAAGGTCTTCCGAGGGAGGGAAGCGCATAGCACCCATCTCTGCCACGTTGACTCCATCAGCCGTGGGAAGGGATCGAAGTCGGCCTCCGACGCTATCAGTCGCCTCAATCAAGGTGACATCCGCGCCGGCCTTGGCGAGGTTGAAGGCCAGAACCACATTGGTGATTCCGGCTCCGACAAGACCAATCGAGAAGTTGGAGGGCAGACTGCCAAGAGGCTGGTTGATGTCGCCGGCAGCCTTGTTCCACTCAGAGTAGATGAGTTGAGGAGTGTCAACCCAGGCTTGAGGACGAGCCTTCTGCTCGGCAGCGCTGGATGATTGCCTCTGAGCCAGACGGGAACCAGAAGTGCTGCCAATAGGAGAGAAAGGAGTGCGCTTGTTGGCAGAGGCCTTGGAGGCGTCCTCACTCTTGAAGCTGAAAGAAGGGAGCATTTTGATTGTGGTGAGTGAGTTTTTGAGCTGCTGAGAGGTCTGTGAATGAGAGTGTTCTGAGTGAGACTGTGAGAGCGATGTCCTTCAGAAAGACAACAGCATTTGGGTGGGAGGTATCCTTCTACTTATACATCGTGAGAATCATACATATATCAAACTCACGGCTTTTCTGACAAAGACGAGAATGCCGACTGGATTGCCGGCTCAGCCGCCGGCACTGTTTGTCTCTTTTCCGGCTGCAAGAGATATCGCCAACATGCTTCCTCACCTGCGTGATGCTTGAGCTGCAACACATACATACATACATAGTTTATTACGCCCCGGCTAAGCTGTTTAGGGCTCGCATGATTATCTACATATTCTCCACATTCGTTCATATCCTTGCCTCCCAGAAGCCCATACAAGTCTTGTTCGTCTCCGTATGTGTCTTTTTTAGTTTTGCATGTCGATGCTGCGGTTGCTCGTGGGGTTAGTAGCAGGCCATCTCGGAGTTGTTTCTCAAAGTGTTCGACGTCCTATCGTCGGCGGCCGAAGCTAGTCCTGCTGTCGATGGCACGAGGATGCGTGGGGGTGTCTCCGGTTAATTTGATGATGTTAGTTGCGTGTGGTTTCGCTGCTGGCTGATCTGTGCATCTAGCCTCTCCGTGCTCATGGCGAACTTGATCGTCTCTTTGACAACGTCTACGCTTGGCGACCAATCCTTAGGGTCGGACGCGCGCTTTCCTCCCAGGAAGTATGACAGATTTCCTCTCCGCGTTTCCGTCTGTTGGAGCATCCGAGTCCGCTGTGCCGTCCACTGTGTGCATCGAAAGAGAAAATGCTCTACCGTTTCTGCAGATTGCCCGCAAGCGCATAGCGCCGCGGCGGTTGCGCCGATCTGGTAGAGGTACCAGTTCAGCCTTGCCATTCCGGTGCGTAGTTGCGCTAGAATGCTGGCTTCTTTCCAGGCCAGTCCGTCATACAGCTTGCGTGTGTGGTTTCCCGGCAGGGCTATGTCGATCTTCTTCGAATATGCTCCTACGTTGTCGGGCAAGGCTCCGTGCTTCTGTCGCACGCTCTGTAAAGCGATCCTAAGTGCCGTCGAGTAGGCTCTGGCCGGCCGTTTTTGTGGTGTCTTGTTTACTTGGGTACTTTCCTTTGCTGCTGCTTTGGCCGCTTGCGCCAGGTCTGACTCTATCGATGATGGAAGCCAGAAGAGAGTGACTCTGTTGCCTCGTCTCTGCAGAGCTTGCACGCTGGCATATAGTTGTCGGATCTCTTGTTGGCCTGACTGCTGCCGCGGGTTGTGCATCACCAACACTGCCGCTTTGTTGCGGGTGAAGACGTGGATGGCCCGGTACTCGAGTCTCTCTGGGAGAGACTTGACCGCTTCTGCCAGTGCCGCTAGCTCTGCTACATACGGGTTCTGCTCCGTTCTCTGACCGAACGTACGCGAGGCCGTCACGACGCCACCGCCCCCTCTGAAAGATGCGGGCAGCGTCGTCGCCGTTCCAAAGCCCACAACCTCGTTCCTTGCTGAGCTCCCTGTCGCTATCCTCACTGCCCATCCAGACCGGATTGCCTCAGAGGCCTTGACCGTGTCGTCGTCGACTACTGTATCAATACGACGTTCCCAAGGAGCGATCGAATACCCTTCGATAGTCTCCAGCTTGTCAAGGGGTAGGTCGCGATAGGCCTCCGCCATCAACTGGAAGGGTGACGGAAACCGTCTAAAGGCCACCGCCCGCAGACGTCGAAGCGGATGGGTCTTGGGAAGGCTTCGCAGCCGTACCCAGAATGTCGTTGATTTTCTGTCGTACCTCTCTTGCGCCGATTGTATGCTTGCCTCCGCTTCAGCGACCGCCGTGGCCACCGTGTTGAAGGTTCCCACGATCGCTTGGGCGCCAATCCTCTGCACTCGGTTGATCACCCTCATCTGCGCTGCTCGACACCTGTACCTCCAGACGTTCGACGCGTAGTCCATCGTCGGTGCTACGGCCGCCACGAAAAGCTGTCTGGCCGTCGCCGGAGACAGGCCTTTGAGCCGTTTGAGCCCCAGCACGGCCTCCAGCCCTTTTGTCGTCGCGTCTGCGATGTGCTTTTCGAAACGGAGTTTCGTGTCCATCATCACTCCCAATACTTTGACGTGGTCCTTTGCTCGGACAGTGTCACCTTTGATGACGAAGCTGGTTGAGTCCGCCGGCAGCCTCCAGTTGCGCGTGAAGTGGATGATGGCCGTCTTGTCCGTCTCGAACGTCGCCCCGCTTCGTCGTTCCCACGCGAGTGCTCGATCGATAATATCTTGGATGCCCTGACGGTTTGCTTCGCGCGATCGGCCTGTGACCCACGCCGTGTAGTCATCGACGAAGGCCAGCGCGCCCCCGTTCTCGTCGATTTGGTGCTGTACGAGATCGGCGTTGAAGAAGAGGAAGAGCACGGGCGAAAGCGGCGAACCCTGAGGCAGTCCGGCTTGTGGTAGCGGACGAGCCTCGGACTCGTGACCGTTAACCAGGATGCTTGCCGTTCTATGGGAGCAGAAGGCGTCCACCCATCTCACCAGCTTGTCCGGGATCCCCCGCGCTCTGAGTCTTTGAAGTAGTCTCTCTTTGTACACACCATTGTATGCTCCCTTGACATCGAAGCTGACCAGACTGACCACCTTTCTCTTTCTCCACGCTCTGTAGATGTACTCCTGCAGCAGTACCAGCGCCTGCTCTGCCGACCTCTGCTTGCGAGCGCCAAAGTGGCTCGTGGGAAGGAGGCCGAACGTCTCGACAGCGTGCGAGATACGTTCTGCCAGGACCGACTCCAGCACTTTTCCGAGCGTCGAGAGAAGCGAGATCGGTCGCCAGGCCTTCGCTATACCGTAGTCGCTTTTGTTTGGCTTCTTCAGCGGGATGATCTTTGCGTGTCGCCACTGCCTCGGCAACACCCCTTCATCCAGTGAGGTCTGGAAGAGTGTAAGCACCCTCTCCTTCACCACTGGCCACGTGTGCTTCCACACTGCCACCGGCAGACCGTCCTCTCCGGGTGCTTTCCACGACTTTGCCGCAAAGAGCTGTCTCTCTACTTCTCCCAGTGTGAGGTTAGGGAAGGGTACCGGCGATCGTTGTGGCCGATCCCCCTCCTCCTCGATCATGCTGGGGAGAGGAGGGAAAAATGTGGAGAGCAGCTCTTCGGCCTGTTCTGCGGCGTCTCCCGTTTGGGAACCATCCGCCCTTTTAAGTTGAGGTATCTTGTCGAAAGATGCCCCTTTACTGGCGTCGAGATACTTCGCGGCCTTCCAGATATTGGCGTCGTCGGCCAGAAAGTCCTCCCAATGGCTCTTCTTCTGTTGTCGGATGGCATCGTGATATTGCTTGGCTGCCGAGCGTGCGCGTTGCTCCAGTTCAGGTTGACTGTTACCTGCCCTTCTCTCCGCTCTCGCCCGGTTTCTCCAGTGGGTATGGATCTGCCGGAGCTGGGTGAGGTCAGCCGTCCACCATCTCTTTGCATACGGTGATGGCTTGGCCGTAGGTGTCAGTGCCTCTACTGCCTCGCACACCACAGACATCAGTCGATCCGTCTGTTGCTGCACCGTACCTCCTGTTGGCATTCGCCCTAGGTTTGCTTCTACTCTCTCATTGATTTGCTTCCATGGGGCGTTCTTGAGGAGGAGCCGTGGCCGGCTTTCCATCTCAGGCGCGGCGATGTCGAAGGTCGTCTCGATCGCCCGGTGGTCCGACCCGTGGTCCGTCTCGTGCAGGCCGCATCGTACCACCGTTCTTGCTAGCTCTTCGGACGCGAGGGATAGGTCGATCGTCGTTGCCGCATCGTTCTTCTCCCACGTCTTCGTGCCACGCGGAAGGAGGCTGCGGAGCGAGTACTCGCTCATTAGATCGATGATCGGGTCCGCCTCGCCCTGCCGGCCCTCCGACACATCGTCACCTCCCCACAGGTAGTCGTGGCAGTTGAAGTCTCCTACCAGAACCACGTCCACCCTCTCCCCTGTTCCTCCTCGGACATTCGTGATAGCTTGTCTCAGCAGGTCGCACGCCTGCCGCAGCATCTCCGGCCTCTGCACCGGCACGTACACCGACGCCACTATCAGTCTTCGATCCGGAAGCCGGACGATGGCCGCAGTGATATCCGAGGACGCTATCGGCAGCTGCTCTGTCTCTACGTCTCTGTTCACCCAAAGCAAACTCCTGATTCCCCATCTTCCTTCGTCCCTCCACTCCGTTGGTACCATCCTCGTCCACCTGCTATTGCCCATCGGAACCGTAATGACCTTACCTTCTATCCTCCGCGCCCATGGCTCCTGCACCGCTATGGCCGTGAAGTCGCGCAACGCCTCATCATTCATCAGACTTTCGTGCACTGCAGCCTGTTTCCTCACGTTGAGCTGAAGGATCTGGACCTTCCTACTCATGGGAACGCGGATACAGCTTCGGACAGTTCTTGCTGAACGACTCGTGCGGTCCGCCACAGGGCACACATGTCACGATCGTCTCACGGCATTCAGAGTGGTGGTGGCCTACCTTGGCGCATCGTCCACACACCCGGGGGTTTACGCACTGGTACGCCTTGTGCTTCGTGATCTGCTGGCAGTTGTAGCACTGCTGGGGGCGGGCCGCCGTTCAAACGCCATCGTCGTGCCGGACTCTCCTCCAACGTGGAAGAAGCCCTCGGAGATCAGTCTACGCGCATCACCGGCCTTGGTCACGAACACGACCATGGACCCATACGCCTTGGGTATCTCTTTCTTGCTAAGCCAAGAAATCTTGGCAACCGTGGTCTCGTTTTCTCGGCTAAGTGCCTCCGCCGCTTCAGCCCTGACATTGCCCTTCTCATCCAGTACCTCAATTCGCTTCACGTTGTCGATCTTCACGGGATAGAGTTCGTCTCGTAGCACGCGTGCTCCACGGCCGAAGCTCTTCTCCGCGATCTGCTTGACATACCTATGCTCCGCATCGTCGCGACAAATGATCCGGATCCTATCCGCGTTCCTTGGGTCTACCGTGACGGCCAGACACCGCCAG